TGGAGACGCTTGTCCACTGGAGACGCTTGTCCACTGGAGACGCTTGTCCCTGGGGACGCTTGTCCGTTGGGGACGATTGTCCACTGGAGACGCTTGTTCACTGGAGACGCTTGTCCGCTGGAGACGCTTGTCCGCTGGAGACGCTTGTCCACTGGAGACGCTTGTCCACTGGAGACGCTTGTCCGCTGGAGACGCTTGTCCACTGGAGACGCTTGTCCTTGGGGACGCTTGTCCGCTGGGGACGCTTGTCCCTAGGGACGCTTGTCCCTGGGGACGCTTGTCCCTGGGGACGCTTGTCCACTGGAGACGCTTGTCCGCTGGAGACGCTTGTCCCTGGGGACGCTTGTCCGCTGGGGACGCTTGTCCCTGGGGACGCTTGTCCGCTGGGGACGCTTGTCCCTGGGGACGCTTGTCCCTGGGGACGCTTATCCCTGGGAACGCTTGTCCGCTGGGAACGCTTGTCCGCTGGGGACGCTTGTCCGCTGGGGACGCTTGTCCGCTGGAGACGCTTGTCCGCTGGGACGCTTGTCCACTGAGGACGCTTGTCCGCTGGAGACGCTTGTCCGCTGGAGACGCTTGTCCGCTGGGACGCTTGTCCACTGAGGACGCTTGTCCGCTGGAGACGCTTGTCCGCTGGGGACGCTTGTCCGCTGGAGACGCTTGTCCGCTGGAGACGCTTGTCCGCTGGGACGCTTGTCCACTGAGGACGCTTGTCCGCTGGAGACGCTTGTCCGCTGGGACGCTTGTCCACTGAGGACGCTTGTCCGCTGGAGACGCTTGTCCGCTGGAGACGCTTGTCCCTGGAGACGCTTGTCCGCTGGGGACGCTTGTCCGCTGGGGACGCTTGTCCCTGGGGAAGCTTGTCCGCTGGGGACGCTTGTCCCTGGGGACGCTTGTCCGCTGAGGACGCTTGTCCGCTGGGGACGCTTGTCCGCTGGAGACGCTTGTCCGCTGGAGACGCTTGTCCACTGGGGACGCTTGTCCCTGGGGACGCTTGTCCGCTGGGAACGCTTGTCCCTGGGGACGCTTGTCCGCTGGGAACGCTTGTCCCTGGGGACGCTTGTCCGCTGGGGACGCTTGTCCGCTGGGGACGCTTGTCCCTGGGGACGCTTGTCCGCTGGGGACGCTTGTCCCTGGGGACGCTTGTCCGCTGGGGACGCTTGTCCCTGGGGACGCTTGTCCGCTGGGGACGCTTGTCCGCTGGAGACGCTTGTCCACTGGAGACGCTTGTCCACTGGAGACGCTTGTCCGCTGGAGACCCTTGTCCGCTGGGGACGCTTGTCCACTGGAGACGCTTGTCCACTGGAGACGCTTGTCCGCTGGGGACGCTTGTCCACTGGAGACGCTTGTCCACTGGAGACGCTTGTCCACTGGAGATGCTTGTCCGCTGGAGACGCTTGTCTGCTGGAGACGCTTGTCCACTGGAGACGCTTGTCCGCTGGAGACGCTTGTCCACTGGAGACGCTTGTCCACTGGAGACGCTTGTCCGCTGGAGACCCTTGTCCGCTGGGGACGCTTGTCCACTGGAGACGCTTGTCCACTGGAGACGCTTGTCCGCTGGGGACGCTTGTCCACTGGAGACGCTTGTCCACTGGAGACGCTTGTCCACTGGAGATGCTTGTCCGCTGGAGACGCTTGTCTGCTGGAGACGCTTGTCCACTGGAGACGCTTGTCCGCTGGAGACGCTTGTCCACTGGAGACGCTTGTCCACTGGAGACGCTTGTCTGCTGGAGACGCTTGTCCACTGGAGACGCTTGTCCGCTGGAGACGCTTGTCCACTGGAGACGCTTGTCCACTGGAGACGCTTGTCCACTGGAGACGCTTGTCCACTGGAGACGCTTGTCCGCTGGGGACGCTTGTCCGCTGGGGACGCTTGTCCCTGGGGACGCTTGTCCGCTGGGGACGCTTGTCCCTGGGGACGCTTGTCCGCTGGGGACGCTTGTCCCTGGGGACGCTTGTCCGCTGGGGACGCTTGTCCCTGGGGACGCTTGTCCGCTGGGGACGCTTGTCCACTGGAGACGCTTGTCCACTGGAGACGCTTGTCCGCTGGAGACGCTTGTCCGCTGGAGACGCTTGTCCACTGGAGACGCTTGTCCACTGGGGACGCTTGTCCCTGGGGACGCTTGTCAGCTGGAGACGCTTGTCCGCTGGAGACGCTTGTCCGCTGGAGACGCTTGTCCGCTGGGGACGCTTGTCCCTGGGGACGCTTGTCCGCTGGAGACGCTTGTTCGCTGGAGACGCTTGTCCGCTGGGGACGCTTGTCCGCTGGAGACGCTTGTCCCTGGGGACGCTTGTCCGCTGGGGACGCTTGTCCCTGGGGACGCTTGTCCGCTGGAGACGCTTGTCCGCTGGAGACGCTTGTCCGCTGGAGACGCTTGTCCGCTGGGGACGCTTGTCCCTGGGGACGCTTGTCCGCTGGCGACGCTTGTTCGCTGGAGACGCTTGTCCGCTGGAGACGCTTGTCCACTGGGGACGCTTGTCCCTGGGGACGCTTGTCCACTGGAGACGCTTGTCCCTGGGGACGCTTGTCCACTGGAGACACTTGTCCACTGGGGACGCTTGTCCGCTGGAGACGCTTGTCCGCTGGAGACGCTTGTCCGCTGGGGACGCTTGTCCGCTGGGGACGCTTGTCCACTGGAGATGCTTGTCCGCTGGAGACGCTTGTCCCTGGGGACGCTTGTCCACTGGAGACGCTTGTCCGCTGGGGACGCTTGTCCCTGGGGACGCTAGTCCGCTGGAGACGCTTGTCCGCTGGAGACGCTTGTCCACTGGAGACGCTTGTCCACTGGAGACGCTTGTTCACTGGAGACGCTTGTCCGCTGGAGAGGCTTGTCCACTGGAGACGCTTGTCCGCTGGGGACGCTTGTCCGCTGGAGACGCTTGTCCGCTGGAGACGCTTGTCCGCTGGAGACGCTTGTCCACTGGAGATGCTTGTCCACTGGAGACGCTTGTCCGCTGGGGACGCTTGTCCGCTGGAGACGCTTGTCCACTGGAGACGCTTGTCCACTGGAGACGCTTGTCCGCTGGAGACGCTTGTCCCCTGGAGACGCTTGTCCACTGGAGACGCTTGTCCGCTGGGGACGCTTGTCCCTGGGGACGCTTGTCCCTGGGGACGCTTGTCCGCTGGAGACGCTTGTCCCTGGGGACGCTTGTCCACTGGGGACGCTTGTCCACTGGAGACGCTTGTCCGCTGGAGACGCTTGTCCGCTGGAGACGCTTGTCCCTGGGGACGCTTGTCCCTTGGGACGCTTGTCCACTGGAGACACTTGTCCCTGGGGACGCTTGTCCACTGGAGACACTTGTCCACTGGAGACGCTTGTCCGCTGGAGACGCTTGTCCGCTGGAGACGCTTGTCCCTGGGGACGCTTGTCCCTGGGGACGCTTGTCCACTGGAGACGCTTGTCCCTGGGGACGCTTGTCCACTGGAGACACTTGTCCACTGGAGACGCTTGTCCGCTGGAGACGCTTGTCCGCTGGAGACGCTTGTCCCCGGGGACGCTTGTCCCTGGGGACGCTTGTCCACTGGAGACACTTGTCCGCTGGAGACGCTTGTCCACTGGAGACGCTTGTCCACTGGAGACGCTTGTCCACTGGAGACACTTGTCCACTGGAGACGCTTGTCCACTGGAGACGCTTGTCCACTGGAGACGCTTGTCCACTGGAGACGCTTGTCCCTGGGGACGCTTGTCCGTTGGGGACGATTGTCCACTGGAGACGCTTGTTCACTGGAGACGCTTGTCCGCTGGAGACGCTTGTCCGCTGGAGACGCTTGTCCACTGGAGACGCTTGTCCACTGGAGACGCTTGTCCGCTGGAGACGCTTGTCCACTGGAGACGCTTGTCCCTGGGGACGCTTGTCCGCTGGGGACGCTTGTCCCTGGGGACGCTTGTCCCTGGGGACGCTTGTCCCTGGGGACGCTTGTCCACTGGAGACGCTTGTCCGCTGGAGACGCTTGTCCCTGGGGACGCTTGTCCGCTGGGGACGCTTGTCCCTGGGGACGCTTGTCCGCTGGGGACGCTTGTCCCTGGGGACGCTTGTCCCTGGGGACGCTTATCCCTGGGAACGCTTGTCCGCTGGGAACGCTTGTCCGCTGGGGACGCTTGTCCGCTGGGGACGCTTGTCCGCTGGAGACGCTTGTCCGCTGGGACGCTTGTCCACTGAGGACGCTTGTACGCTGGAGACGCTTGTCCGCTGGAGACGCTTGTCCGCTGGGACGCTTGTCCACTGAAGACGCTTGTCCGCTGGAGACGCTTGTCCGCTGGGGACGCTTGTCCGCTGGAGACGCTTGTCCGCTGGAGACGCTTGTCCGCTGGGACGCTTGTCCACTGAGGACGCTTGTCCGCTGGAGACGCTTGTCCGCTGGGACGCTTGTCCACTGAGGACGCTTGTCCGCTGGAGACGCTTGTCCGCTGGAGACGCTTGTCCCTGGAGACGCTTGTCCGCTGGAGACGCTTGTCCGCTGGAGACGCTTGTCCGCTGGAGACGCTTGTCCCTGGGGACGCTTGTCCGCTGAGGACGCTTGTCCGCTGGAGACGCTTGTCCGCTGGGACGCTTGTCCACTGAGGACGCTTGTCCGCTGGAGACGCTTGTCCGCTGGAGACGCTTGTCCCTGGAGACGCTTGTCCGCTGGAGACGCTTGTCCGCTGGAGACGCTTGTCCGCTGGAGACGCTTGTCCCTGGGGACGCTTGTCCGCTGAGGACGCTTGTCCGCTGGAGACGCTTGTCCCTGGAGACGCTTGTCCGCTGGGACGCTTGTCCGCTGGGGACGCTTGTCTGTGGGACGGTATAACACAGTCATCCCTCCTGGAGTCACGCACATACCTCATCTCCTGATGAATTATTTGTTTATTTTATTTTACCAAATATTGTTGTTTAATTACAAATTAAAACATTTAATTCGCTAAATTTATAAAAGGCATATATTACTTACCATTAGATAAATTTATGCAAATTAATTTTTGAGTGTCGGTAATCTTTTTATTTCTGTTATTTTTTTGCAGATTTAACTTCGGATCACAACTTGGGTTTGTAGTTGCTGAAAATAACCTGAATATCACGACTAGATTTGAGATACATTTGCCGTCTGGGGAAACACACAATGTAAGTATTTTGATGTCCTGTGGTAGCCAAAAGTATTACATCAGTGAATCTTGAACGAATCTTCTATAGATTTCTTATGATCTTCTTCACTATAAAGTAAACTGAGAAATTAAATCTCCAAAGTTCACTTTATAATTTGATCTGCAGTAAATAATGCATTTCGTTGAGGCTGTTGATATATTCAGATATGGAGAGAGAGGGTGTAATAGGGGAGGGATAGGGAGAGGGAAAGAGGGGAGATGTAGGTGGGTTGGGTAGCGGGGAAGGGGTAAAGGGTTATAAGGCAGGATGCAGTTGTTTTAGATTCAGCTACTGAGAACAAAAGTTCCAAGAAGCATGGGCTATAGTGAGCCCGTAGTGGACTTACCTGTCACATGAGAGGGGGGCTGTATGTGTGATGGGAGCGAGATTGATTGATGAAGATTAAGTCACCCAAGAGGTAGTACGGGCATGGATAGCCCGTAAGTGGTAGTAGTAGGCATCTATCAGTCTCAGGAGACTATGGAGTTGCGCTCTGGTTGTCGGTCTGAGTGGCCTCTCCAAGGCGCAAAGCCAGGGTAGTTTGATATGGAGGAGAAGCTGTTACCCCTGCTGCAGGTCCCCCTCTCCACGGCGCCGAAAGTCTCTAATGAAAAGGCAAATGCCAATACGATTGGTTCCAGCACCGTATCAGGAACTGAGAGTTCCAGAGTTGACCTCGAAGTTGGTGAAAGACGGCACAGGGACTCCAAACCCAGAGACCGCCGTGGTCAGGGCCGGAGAAGAACCACCCCATCAAGGGCAAGAACGACACCAGCCTCCTGAAGCAGAGCCTGGGCCGCATGAGCCCCAGGAGGTCTACATCCCAGTCCCGCACCTACAGGTTCCAGAGATCGTCCACTTTTCTAGTCAAAAGAGGTGTCCAGCAGCTGGACACCCTCATAAATACTGTCAAGTAGTATTCTCCCCCGTGATGGTAGAATTGTTTTTTGAGTCAATCAAAGTATACTGTATGCTGAGGTCGCATTTAATCGTCAGGCTGCCATCGCAGGGGAGCATACTACTTGACAGTATTTATGTGTCCAGCTGCTGGACACCCCTTTTGACCAGAAAAGTGGCAGTGGTGACTGCTTCACGGTGGTTACTGAAAGATTCAGGGACTCTTAAAGCTCTTCTAAGGTCGTTGGTTGCTTCACATTCCAGGAGATAGTGAAGTAGTGGTTTTTCTGTTATTGTTTGGCAGATGAATTCCCTATGTCTAGGCTCACTAATTTCCCAGTTGCATCTGTAACCTAGATGTAGTCAGTATAACCGGACTGCTATTTCCCTGTGGATTCCTTTCGAGATATTTCACCTGCCTAACTTGGTGACCTGAAGATACCATATTGCAGAGGGCGAACCTTCTGCTACTCTCCGGTGAAAATGGGCTTTGTTGAGGTGTGAGAGCTTTTTGGTTATGGTGTTTTTGATGTACTCTAGGCTGGGTTGGATTGTTTTGTGGATCACTGGATGACGAGTTGCCAATTTAGCAGTTTCATCGTCTTTCTCATTTACTAGGATTCCAACATGGGATGGGATCCAGTTTAGGGTTATGTTGAGACTTTTGCCTTTAGCTTCTGCTCCAAGATACAAAATGGTGGTAATTATTTCCACGTTGTCTTTCCCCTGTTTTTTTCCTAATATTTGAAGTGCAGCTTTTGAGTCTGTGTGTATGATTGCACTTTGTGTGTTTTGTGCAATCACATATGCGAATGCCTGTTGTATGGCAAACAGCTCAGTTTGGGTCGATGATACTGGTCCTCCCTGTCTCCAATAGGCCTGTTCGCTGTCCGTGCAAAGAGCAGTGCCAGCACACATATATTCTGTGTCAATCGATCCGTCTGTAAAGATGTGAGTGCCTCCTGCTACTGCAATGCTGCTAATTTGTTTTTCTATGATGCGCCTTAGGATTGTTGGATCAAAGGCAGCCTTTTTCATCAGAAGAACTTCTGATGAAAAAGGTCCTTTATCCTCTATCAAAGGTCTGATCCTCTATCAAGAATCATGGTTTTTAATTGTAGTCTGTTTAGGACTTCTCCCGCCCTGCCAGCCCAAGAGTTTCCGTTGTTTAGGACATGTCTAACCACCATGGTCTGCTGAACTGGGACTGGATCTGGAAAAACAATTATCATACTGATAATCGTTTCTCATGATAGCACTTGTGTGCTATGTCCCTTTCCCTGCTCTGACTGACTGTTCCATCACATCTTCCCGTTCGTCTCCTATTTGCGTGGTTAGCGCTGGTTCTCTCCCTCTCCCTCTTCCTCTTTCGTCTGTCCCCCTCCTTCACTTTCTCTTCGTTCTTTTGTCCCACACTTGTCCCCATCGTTCTTCCTCTCCATCTAAGACAGGAGGCCGTTGTCCAGTGCGTCGCTACTGGCACGCCTGTGTCTGTCAGAAACGGAAACCTGGTTCCTCTCCCTCTTCATTCCCTGTGGGTAAAAAGACTTCCGTCCTTCCTGCACTTTCCTCTACTGTCTTGGTTCCTGCCTCTTCTGTCTTAGTAGTGGAGTCTGCTGATCTGGCCATGGTCATTCCTGTAGCCCTTGATTCTGCCTCTGGTCCTGTCCCTGGTAAGGTACCCCTGGTGAGCTACCCCTAGTGAGGTACCGCTGGTGAGGTACCCCTGGTGAGGTACCCCTGGTGAGGTACCCCTGGTGAGGTACCGCTGGTTAGGTACCCCTGGTGAGGTGAGGTGGAACCTTTCATCCTCTCTTGTCCACTGTCTCCTCTAAATTCTAACAACCTTATTCATGTTGCCTCGCACACTCCCTTTCCTGTCTTGATCTTTTCGTCTGCTTGTCCTCCATTTATTTAGACCTGTCATGGAGGGTTCTTGATGGGCTCTTTAATATTGGCCATTTTCCCATCCTTACCACACTCTTCTCTTTCCGCCCTCTTATCCCGTTCCCTCGTTGGCAATTTGATAAGACGGACTGGAATATTTTCACCACATACACTCCTGTTTCCACCATGTCTGTCTGATCTCTCACTCTCAGGCTCCTTCTTTTTGCAGCACCCACTTGGACATTGCTCTCCTTTCTATTTCTCGCAATGTCTCTGGTGGCACACGGAAGTGCATTTACAGATGGAATTTGGATTGTCCTAGAGGTGTATGTTGTAATCATGTAGTTTGGAAGAGACACCAGTGCCGACTGACTCTTGATTCTTTTCTTTAGTTTTGAAAGGTGAGTCTTTTGGCCCTTAGTGCCAACTATACTTCTAAACCAGAAAGCTGGTAATCCTATGTCTCCACCATTACAGTTGACATCACTCTCCCTCAGATTTGGAAGATTATCTGTAATATTGATGGCACGTTTGCTCCAAACCTATCGAATGTCCTTCGTCTCCATGTTTCTGTCATTGCGGATCCGGAGTTGGTAGCAAATGAACAGGGTTTGCACTTTTCTGCAATTAGGACAGATATGGACCATCTCCAAATTTTCTTTCTCGTCAGTCTCTTCTTGAGTTTCAGAACTTAGTACAGCTCCCTTATAACATGTTTTGCCATCTTCCTCAGGGTGCCTTTCAGTATTTACCGAGTATTTACAATCCTTTTTGAGAGATGGCATCTCTCTGCAAAAACTGGCTTGCAACAATTGTTCTTCCTATTCGAAAAACCCCCTTTAATTCTTGTTTCCTGCCCTAAGGATTTTCGTCTTATCGCTTTGATGAGTTGCGACTGCACGTTCTACATACATATGTTTAATGTTCATCTTATGTGGTTTTTATAACACTATCGCATCCTCTTTCACTCTCAATTTGCCTTTCACAAGTGTCATGGCAACTCTGACATTTTAGTGAACCTGGAGATCTACATTAATTCTGCCTTTGCCTCTAAGTCCTCTATGATTGCTCTTCTTTTTGACTTGGAAAATGATTATGATGCCACCTGGAAGTACAATATTTCCCAGGGTACCATTCTTTTCCCAGCTCCATTCTTTTGTCCTCCGCGGCAATCTCCCACTCTTCCTTTATGGTTTCCTCTCTCGTCGTTCCTTTGAAGTAAGACTTGATGCCCCCTTCTCTGCCTCCTTTCCCCATTTCGAGGGTGTTCTTCAGGGTAGCGCACAACTCTTTTCCTCATAGTCGAGGTGATGCCTCAACTTTCCTACAACGCCGCTCCAACTTGCGACTGATGATGTGTCGTCCTGGGCCATCAGTCAGGGCTTCAAGTTCTCTACGTCTAAGACTTGTGTTCTGACTTTTACTTAGTGGCAAGTCCCACATTGTCACTTTGTGCGTGGTAGTCCCCTTCTCTATACGGTCTCTGCTAAATTTTGCTGTTGATTTGTTACACTTCTTTGCCTTGGTCACCCGATATCCGAAGGTAATAGAAGGTGATCAGAAATAGGACATGTGGAAGTCGTACAGTTTACATAATAACTAATAGACTGTTATTGAAGCAAATTGATATCAAAGTTAATACATATTATTTGTGTTTTCACCAGATGTCTCTGGCAGCCGACGGACAGCTGAGAGGAAGTGACCTGGAGGACGCAACTCTCACATTCAGTGTTGAGTCTCCTGTTACTGAACACATCGAGCTCTATCTTCACATTGTAAACCAGATATCCAAGAGCAGAAGTAACGTTGGAATGACAGTAAGAGTTTATATATATTGTCCTGCAGACACTACACGAGTATTGTCCTGCAGACACTACACGAGTATTGTCCTGCAGACACTACACGAGTATTGTCCTGCAGACTCTACACGAGTATTGTCCTGCAGACTCTACACGAGTATTGTCCAGCAGACACTACACGAGTATTGTCCTGCAGACACTACACGAGTATTGTCCTGCAGACACTACACGAGTATTGTCCTGCAGACTCTACACGAGTATTGTCCTGCAGACTCTACACGAGTATTGTCCAGCAGACACTACACGAGTATTGTCCTGCAGACTCTACACGAGTATTGTCCTGCAGACACTACACGAGTATTGTCCTGCAGACTCTACACGAGTATTGTCCTGCAGACTCTACACGAGTATTGTCCAGCAGACACTACACGAGTATTGTCCTGCAGACACTACACGAGTATTGTCCTGCAGACACTACACGAGTATTGTCCTGCAGACACTACACGAGTATTGTCCAGCAGACACTACACGAGTATTGTCCTGCAGACACTACACGAGTATTGTCCTGCAGACACTACACGAGTATTGTCCTGCAGACACTACACGAGTATTGTCCAGCAGACACTACACGAGTATTGTCCTGCAGACACTACACGAGTATTGTCCTGCAGACACTACACGAGTATTGTCCTGCAGACACTACACGAGTATTGTCCTGCAGACACTACACGAGTATTGTCCAGCAGACACTACACGAGTATTGTCCTGCAGACACTACACGAGTATTGTCCAGCAGACACTACACGAGTATTGTCCTGCAGACACTACACGAGTATTGTCCTACATACGCTACACGAGTATTGTCCTGCAGACACTACACGAGTATTGTCCTGCAGACACTACACGAGTATTGTCCTGCAGACACTACACGAGTATTGTCCAGCAGACACTACACGAGTATTGTCCTGCAGACACTACACGAGTATTGTCCTACAGACGCTACACGAGTATTGTCCTGCAGACACTACACGAGTATTGTCCTGCAGACACTACACGAGTGTTGTCCTGCAGACACTACACGAGTATTGTCCAGCAGACACTACACGAGTATTGTCCTGCAGACACTACACGAGTATTGTCCTGCAGACGCTACACGAGTATTGTCCAGCAGACGCTACACGAGTATTGTCCTGCAGACGCTACACGAGTATTGTCCTGCAGACACTACACGAGTATTGTCCTGCAGACACTACACGAGTATTGTCCAGCAGACACTACACGAGTATTGTCCAGCAGACACTACACGAGTATTGTCCTGCAGACACTACACGAGTATTGTCCAGCAGACACTACACGAGTATTGTCCTGCAGACACTACACGAGTATTGTCCTACAGACACTACACGAGTATTGTCCTGCAGACACTACACGAGTATTGTCCTGCAGACACTACACGAGTATTGTCCAGCAGACACTACACGAGTATTGTCCTACAGACACTACACGAGTATTGTCCTACAGACACTACACGAGTATTGTCCAGCAGACACTACACGAGTATTGTCCTACAGACACTACACGAGTATTGTCCTACAGACGCTACACGAGTATTGTCCTACAGACGCTACACGAGTATTGTCCTACAGACGCTACACGAGTATTGTCCTGCAGACGCTACACGAGTATTGTCCTGCAGACACTACACGAGTATTGTCCTGCAGACACTACACGAGTATTGTCCTGCAGACACTACACGAGTATTGTCCTGCAGACACTACACGAGTATTGTCCTGCAGACGCTAGACGAGTATTGTCCTGCAGACACTACACGAGTATTGTCCAGCAGACACTACACGATTATTGTCCTGCAGACGCTACACGAGTATTGTCCAGCAGACACTACACGAGTATTGTCCTACAGACGCTACACGAGTATTGTCCTGCAGACACTACACGAGTATTGTCCTGCAGACACTACACGAGTATTGTCCTGCAGACACAACACGAGTATTGTCCTGCAGACGCTACACGAGTATTGTCCTGCAGACATTACACGAGTATTGTCCTGCAGACACTATATGAGTACTGTGAGGAAAATGACTCATGGGATTTATATTTATTTATTTTATATTAATTTATATAATTTATATTTTATGTTAATTTATATTTTTCGATAGCAAACTATGTTGTTTAAAGTGGACTGTATGATTTAAAAATTCCATTCACATTCTGGGGAGTTTATGAAGGCCATGGGTCTCGTTCTTAACCCCTCCAAGTGTGAAATTATTTCATCCAGTGAAGTAGTCATTAATGCATTGAAATCAGTTTTACCAGAAGCCTCAGTCATTAGACCCACCGACAGCACTACTTGGTGCACCTATGGGCCACAATGCCATTGCTGCAGTCCTTGACGAAAAGTTTAACGACCTAAAGAGGATGGAAGAGAGAATAGGAGACTTGGACTCCCATGATGCTCTCTACCTTCTTACAAAGGGCCTTACCTACCCAGGCTAATGTACTTTTTAAGGTGTGCACCCACTTTTGACCACCCACTACTCAGTCGATATGATGAGCTCCTGAGGTCAATATCCAGGAAGGCAACCTGGATATATCAACCTAAATTTAGATGACAGTCAGTGGGACCAAGCAACACTATCAGTGAGATTTGGGGGAATTGGCATACGAAAAGCAACCTAGGTAGCACTTCCAGCATTCTTATCCTCATGTACAGCAGCCAACGAACTAATAGAACTGATCCTACTGAAGCGTATGAGAAACACAGCGGGAACTCACGATGGCATCTGAAACCATCCATCGAAACACGATGGAACTCTCTGGGCATCTTCATCTCCAGCCAACTCCAAGGGTACTATTTGTTTTAGTGTCTTGAGGTTAGTGGCGCTTTGCACATTACTTTCACTATCCTCAAGACACCCTGGCTCTCTGGGTGAAGAGAAATACAACCTATTGGCCACTGTGAGCCGTTGCTGTCCACAAGAACAACATTACCAAGTTGCAATTAGGATCAATTATAGAGGTTGGTTGCCCCATAGTGATATTTATTTACACTGCTCTGCGTGACGCAGAGCGTGTAAATACTCTTGAGTCCAAACTTCATTCCACCGACTGATTACTCAGAAAAGTTGTATAGAACTCTGAACAAAGTTTCTCTCTCCATTATATGAAAGATCTCTAGGTTCCTTGTCAGTGAGGGACGCAATAGGGGTGAGAGGTCATCCATTCATCCATTGAGGGAGCCGGTCGGCCGAGTGGACAGCACGCTGGACTTGTGATCCTGTGGTCCTGGGTTCGATCCCAGGCGCCGGTGAGAAACAATGGGCAGAGTTTCTTTCACCCTATGCCCCCTGTTACCTAGCAGTAAAATAGATACCTGGGTGTTAGTCAGCTGTCACGGGCTGCTTCCTGAGAGTGGAGGTCCGGTCGAGGACCAAGCTGTGGGGACACTAAAAAAGCCACGAAATCATCTCAAGATAAGATTCATTAGATGAGATGGACTTATCTTATGTTGTTAGTTATCTTCAGAGATGTAAATCAGCAGTCGGTTATTGACTAGAGACTCACTTTCTGTGACAATGGTTTGGAGCTCCTGGAGATCTATTTTTTGGTGGTGCAGGGTTTCCTTAGAGAAAAGTGTTTTTCCAGTGTTTCACCGTCCTCGCAATTCTCTCGTAGGAACCCCTGTGCCACTGTCCTCTGGGGAAATAAATTTTCAGTAGTACTGCCGTTAGTTTAGGGCAGTGCAAACGACTGGATGATCCCAAACCTCCTTCAGGCATGCCTCCTTCACCAGCTACCAAGTTGGACCTGTTGTCCAAGATCATCAACTTTGGGCAGAATCTGTGTGCAGCAAACCCTGCGGAAGACCTGGATGAATGACTCGGCACTCATGTCAGGAGGCACCTCTTGGTGAACTTCCCGGGAGGTGGCAGAAGTAAAACGGCAGATGTACGCCATCACAGAGATTATATCCCTGGTGCCAGTTAGGGTTAAAGTTTATGTGGAGTCGACCCCAGTGGTCTCAAAAGGACGATGGTGCACCACTCGTTTCCTAGGGAGTGTTGGAGGTCCTGGGTAAGGACAGTAATGCAATACTGTCTTAAGGAGATGAGGGTACTTAGTACCCCACCATGAAGTGTGCAGTGCTCGTGGATATAAATAACAAGCAATTTGCTTATCCAGTGATTCCTGGGGAGGAACCAAGGATGCTTAATTTCAAAATCAACTTCTGCATGTTGTATTCGTCCCCAGGAACAATGTAGAATGTTGTGATTTTCTGGGTCAGTTCAGAGACCCAGATCATTAATGGTTTTAGGTGGGAGGTTTTCATAGTTCTCACCATAAGTTTGTATTTGGGCTCGCTTTACCAAGTACTTTAGAGCATATGGGAATATATGTTTGATACCCACCTCTTGGACTGCCCCCCCCCCCCTCTTCCTTTCCAGCCCGTTGCCATCGTTTGAGGGCTTGGTGGGTGGCTGCTAGAGTGTGATGCTCTATGGGACAGCTTGTCTTCTGTCCTTTTGAAGCCTTATGCTCCTGCTGCTGTCTTCTCAAATTTTGCTGGTTGCTTTTTCCTCTTCCTCATGTTTCATTTTTCCTCCCCACCAAAGTCCTTTGTGATTGTTCCTCTCACTGTCGACTTTTTGCCACTCTTTAATATTCTTTCTGATGTCTTCTTCTGTTTTGACGCCGGGTGTTTGGGGAGACACAGTCTCTCACCCGTAGAACTGTGGTACCTGACGTTGTCGAGCGAGGGGGACGCTTTTATTGTCAGTCTTGGCCTTTGTTGTTGAGCCCGATCTCGACGGACTGACGGTTTTTATGGTGAGGATTCCAGGGTGTATATCCACGATGCAACCCTGGGAGGTACATCAGGTATATACAAACTGGTCTTGTCGAGTGTCCTATCCTCTAATTGTGGCTCTGTGATGAGTATGGGGGCTTATTTAGGACAAAATGTTTACCTTTTCGTTTTTTTACAATCCTCTGACCCTCAT